AAGCATCCCGGGTTCTCTCCAAACCCTCACAACCGCTGGTGCCCAGAACCTACAGGACTCCCGCCTGGCTGTGCCCGGGAACCGGAGATGCCTGTGGAGCAGCAGGCAGACGGGCCTCCTGCCGCTGGGCCGCAAGCAGCTGCTGGCGGGCCAGATGTCTCGCCGTTTATCACCCGGCAGCTCTGGTTCCCAAATCTACAGAAAATCTCCTCCCTCCCAGCCGGCCGTCAGTGTGTCCGACCCACAGGCACGGCTCAGCCTGGGGACATGTGGGAGGAGAAGCTGGGGGGCACAGGGGGGCTCTGTGACTCAGAGGGTGTGAGGTGAGGCCCCAGGACATGACCTGGTCGGGAGGACCTGCTTTACGCCGGTGATAGGCTCTCTCTTTTCCCGCGGAGTAGGGCCAGGATCGGGCTAGTGGCCCCTCAGCCCCTCCAGGCACTCTGCGCTTTGTGCGGCCTCTGAGGTGTTATGTGAACACATCGCACAGAATCCTAGACCCTGGGCGTCTTCCGCCACTGTCCACCTTACTACCTCCCGGCCAGGCACCCAATTATGGAGTGCTTCCTGCCAGTGGCCCCTCGGTAACCCTCACGCGGGGCCTCCCTCGGTCCCTAGAGGTGGACACCTGAGAGGCCTCACGGGGAGGAGGGCAAAGCGACAGGCCATCTGAGCCCCCCTCGCCCGGGCGGAACCTGCAACGGGGTCTTTGGGGAACGAGGTCACACTGTCGTGTTTCTCTTCTCTCGTACCTCTCAAACGAGAGTTGGAATGTTCCAGAAGATCGGGCTAGAGCAGAGCGGTGTGCATGCTCGGCCCACTCAGGCGACACAGTGGGGAGGGGCGCTGGGAGCCGTCTGGGGAGTTGCTCCATTTTCAGGGAGGCAGCCGAGGGAAGGAGTTGGAGGTGGGCTGTGTGTCTTCCAGAAGGAGAAGCTGCTCAGGCTCCTCCTCCCGAAGAGCCGCATGGGACCGTTCTCCTCAGGCGCCCCAGACCTCCACACCTGGAGTGTTTCTCCCACCTGGGGTTTCACGGCTCACTGGGCCTGGTGGAAAATTCCAGTGGGACCTTCAGCTGGCATCTGAGACTTCCTCAACCAAAAGGCCTTCTCCACCATTTTGAAGGCACCCAAGAGCCCTCCCAATCTCACGTTTATCTTGTGACCCCAGATGAGGGCCCCTCGCCAGACCTTGTGCTTTTGTCTCGTGACCCTAACCAGCCTCCTTCCCGGACCCTCAGTTACAGTCTTCACTCTTCCAGGCCACAGTGAACGCCCGGCCCCAGCGCATCCTTGACTCGGCCTCCCTCACGCAGTCGGCCCCAGCCAGCCCCACCAACAAGGGCACGCACATCCAGCCCGTGGGGTAAGTGCCTCGCATCGGGCTGTGTGTGCATCCATGCGTCC